GGCATCTGCATAGCCAAGCCTTTAAGGGACTTTAGGTTCGACCACTGTACTCCAGTTCAGCCGTGCCTCCCCCTTAATCCACTCTGTCACATTTACAGCCTCTACATTAGTTTTACAATTACCCCTTCCTGCACTCAAAATTCACAGCATTTTCCTCTATGCTGTCTTCCCCAGACCCATCAGGAAAAGAGGAAACTATTCAGTGGGGATCTTCCTTGTCTCCCTCATTTTGAGTCTAAGCACACCCACAAAAGTGTGTGAGCCAGCCACTTCATGCCTTTATCTCCCGCCATTTTAGATAACCAGTTTCTAAATTGCCTGTCCCTACCAAACCAGTACTCTGAGGAGACAAGTTTCTGCCTTAATCTGAAGAATCTTCTGTTCCAGTTGGAACTTGGAGCACCTCCATCCATAAGCAAAGTCCAGTCCAGAGCAAGTCATCAAATTGCAGCAGCTTACACCAGCTCACAGTGTCAAACATCTCTCTCTCTGTCCCTTCAGTCAGGTTCTGGTCAGCTCATCCCTAGCACCCCTGGGCTAGGCCAATGGGTACCAGCTCAGGAGTCCACACATCTCCCTGCACTGCAGACCAGCCAGCCCCTTCTTTCCCTCTCTCATCCCTATCCCCCATGGGCTAGGTCAGTGGGCACTACCCATAGGCTCAGGAGTCCACACGATTCCCTGCACTTCAGACCAGCCAGTCCCTTCTCCCTCTCTCATCCCTAGCCCCTGTAGGCTAGGTTAATGAGTGCCAATGGAACATATCCAGACTCAGCCCATCTCTTCATTGCTGCATCTCCCCCTACTTCCACTCTTCTGATGGCCCCAGGTAGTCACCTAAAGTGAGCATACCAGGCTGTCTACTTGCCAGCTCACCTTAACTTTCAGTCCTGGAAGGGGGTTCTTCTGATGGGCACCGACTTTTCTGGCCTCAGTGCATCTAATGGCAAACCAGTTGCTCAAAATTCAAAAAGCAAAACAGTCATTTTTTTTTTTTTTCTGCAGGTCCTTCCTTCGAATGTAAATTTCCTACTCTCTCAGCAGTTCTGGGTAGGTCTGCATGTCTTTTCAAACGCAGATTTCCCAACTGGAAAGATTCAGGGTGTGAGGCTCAGGTTTTCTACCTAAGCCTCCAATACTCTATACACAGGGCTACTGCTTTGAAATAAACAGCCTGTGTTTCTTTCAGGCAAATCCTAGTTCCGCTTTTCTCATATCCAATCAATTATTGGCTGAAGGTGGAGTTACACGCCCTCTGTAATCTATAATACCCAATATTCATTTCCGTCATACATGTAGGTCTGTTTTACAACACTAGGTAGGAGAAACTTTCAATATCCATAGTACATTTGAACACATAACCCTTTTTAAAACATTCCGGTTTCATCTTCTCTATACCTTGACTACCTTCCCATTCAGTTGCATATGGCCTTGGGCCTCTGGCTGGGTGGAACCACAAAACCCTGGCCACCTATTAATCATCTTGTTTAACCCACCTGGCTTAGCCCCAAGCCTCTCCAGTTGCGGCCTTTCTCCCCTCAGCTGCAGCATAACATCTCTTAATTTCCTTTCACCCATTACAAGTAACAACAACCAGAGTAACCATTTAAGAATCAAAATTTTCACTTCCCACTCCCGTTTGTTCTTTCTCTTACAAAGCCCCATGCTTCCATGAGTTTGGAGCCATTGCAGCGTATCCCAGTTCTGACATCAACTGTAAAAATGGCATAGTGGTGGCATCTGACTTCCCCGTCTAACTTCACAAGGGGAAGGAGGATCAAAATCAACATCAGCCCAAGGCTGATTCCTATGAGGCAGAGTTCAGACACCTCCACTCTCCAATCTTTTTACCAATTCTGACACCAGCTGTCCCTCCCATGGCACTGTGTACTTCTCTGCTGGGTTCAGTAATTCGTTGCAGTGGCCACACAGAACTCACCATAGTCACAGTTATGGAGTTTATTAGGGAAGTAACAGGTTACAATTCAGGATACAGTTCTTCGATCAAGACAGCCTCTTCTCTCTGCCCACAGGCAGGCCTCTCTCTGGCCCCTCAGCCCCTTGGCTCCTCGGCCTGGCCTCTGCTGTGCTTGGGCAAGTGTTACAAAGCTCTTTAGCTCTGCCAGTAAGTGCTCGGAGGCACCCGACTCCACCACTAAGTCTTGCTATGAAGGTGCTCAGCTCTCTCACGCTGTAGGTCTGTGAGCCTAGCTCTGCCAGCAAGTGCTGAGAGGCACCCCACTTCAAGCCTCCTGCCCAAAGGCGCTCCGCTGTCTTGATCTGTGGGTGGGCACACTCACCATAACCAGCTTGCTCCATGGGCCAGGAAGCCCACTGTGCCATCTCGCACTGGTCTCCTGAGTTACAGCTCTCTCTCTGTCTCCTGGGTCTAGGAGGTGCTCAGCACAGGCACCCCAGGTCCAAAGGACATGCCCTGCTCCCATCTCTTCTTGGTAGTGAGGTCCTCCCTTTTTGCCTCTGGGATGGCTTGTTTTAAGCCTAGTGGGATGGCAAAACTGATCCATCTCCTAATTAGGGTTCCATATACTTTATTTGCATGTTTCCACCCCCACAAGGGTGCCGTACACCTTATTTGCATTATTAGCAAGTCATCCAATCCCCTTGGTGGGCTACAAGCACCTCGTTTGTATAGTCCCACCCATTCATTTGGTGGGAGTTACAAGACCATGACAAGAAAGGCCCTGTAAAAGCAATCCATCACACTGCGATATTCATGACATTAATGTTTCTGTATAAAGTAAAGCATGGATACAATTTTATCTTTTTCCATATGGAACCCAATGGTTCTAGCTTCATTTATTGAACAAAACCCAGCTTTCCCCACTGATTTGTAATGCCACCACCATTATGAAGCAGTTCTGGGCACTCTTTTCTGAGTCACTGATCTATTTCTCTATCTCTGTCCTAGTACCAAACTGTTTGAATTGCTGTTACTGTTTGTTTTGTTCTGATATCTGGTAGGGCAAGTCCTACACTATTTTCTTTAGAATTGTCTTCATTATTTTGACCTTTTACTCTTCCATGGGGATTTTAAGATCGGTTTGAATGACCAGGTCAGGCAGAGTCCTGAACACCATGTCGCGGACAGTTTCAAGCAGAGAAGTGACATGGTCAGCTGTTCATTTTTTAAATCACTCACAAAGCTGTATGGGGATTGGATCTGAGAGGATTATACTGGAGACAGAAAAAAAAGTGTGGAAGCTCAGACCAGTTAGTGACAAGAGAGGTGGGCAGGGGGGTGGGGGGGGTGCAAAATCTGGGGGCCTTGGTGATTGCATATGGTGAATAGAAGAACTAAGAAAAGGCAAATCATAGTCTGGGAGAAGCCAAGGACAACCCCACATTCCAGGACAGGTTATTGAATGAACAGCAGTGCCGCCAGGTAAGGGTGGAAATACAGGAGAAGGAATTACCAGGTTCAACTTTGACGGTGTTGAACCATAGGGAAGTTCAGATGGAGGTATCATGGATATAAAGGTCTTGGCAAAAGAAGACTACAGTAAAGATTTAAGAGTCATCAGCACATCTGTTGTGGTTAAAATCAAATGAAAAACAGGAGCTAAAGAGGGAGGCCTGTGCAGACAACACTTTCACGAGGGGTTGTTAGAGGATAAGGAGCCCATGGAGGAGACAGAATGGTAGCAATTGAAGCAGGAATTCAGAGCTAGAGATGATGTAAGTTTTCCTGCCTAGTGAATCTCTAGAAATACCAGAAGGGAGCTGGGCTTCCACAGTTTACACGCTTTGGATAGTAACATAAAGATGACCTAAGCCAGCTGAAAGGACGTGGGAATCCTTAGGTCACTTGTGGATCTACAAGTTCTTGTGGTCAAAGATCTGGAGCTCTGGATGGACATCATGCTTCACAGGCCTCTAAGCATGGCCTGGCAGCAGCCCCTTTGATTTGCTTTGCATTTGATGTGCTCTGCAGAAAGTGGCTGAGCCCCTTTGTGGATGCCCTGGTCTCCACCGCTGATCTCTGGCCCAGGTAGCCAGAGCTAGGCTAGCAGCTGGTGTCACCTCCCTTAAGGCCTCCCTGCCCAAGATACAGAAACTAAAGAGTGCAACAGTAGCCAGGACCATGCCTCTCAAAGTGTAGTTGTGATGTGGACAGCATGAAGGATTCGTGGACCCCTACTTCAGTCTCTGTGGATTATGTGCAGTCAGATTTGTGGCCCTGGCTCCAATGACCTCCTGTTGGCATCATGGTTGGCGCTGAGGGGGTGTGGTGATAATCATGATAACAAAATAAGTATGAGTACTCTCTACATACATTATTTTATTGACTCCTCCCAACAACCTGCAAGGTGGGTTTAATCCTACTTTTCAGATGAGGAAACTGAGGCTCAGGGAATAAATTAAGTACCCTCTCCAAGATCACCCAGCTTGTAACTGACAGTCTTGGGATCTGAACTCCTGCCTATCTAACTGCTTTCACTGAGTAAATTAAATACCTCCCCCAATAAGCTCTCAGTCTCTGTTGAATGAAAGGGTACAAAACAGAAAGTGTCTATATAAGGGCACCATGGTAAGGGCACTGGTGTTAAAGTCAGAAGGCATACTTCTAAGTCTCAACTCTATCACTTACTAGCTAAGTGGCCTTAGGTAACTCATGCCATGGGGAAGTGGGGGGCCAGGCTGCTGGTCCCCACATCTATTCATGGTACTCTCCCTTCAGCTGTATATTAGACAATGGGGCTGTGCCTGGTCAGTGGGCACTGTGTGCAGCAGGACGCATGGCCATCCTGAGAGTCAGTTATCAATTGTGGGAGCTGATTTGAGGGAGAAGACTTATATCTAATGAGCAGGAGGCCATAGAGCTCATATAAACCTTGCCTAGTCTGTGACATCCAGGCCAGGTGCTCACCCCAAACCCAGGGCCCACCACCTCTGAGCCTCCACAGCCCTGAGGCAGCCTCCACAGAGCTCCCTGCTGCCATATCTCCCACCATTGCTCTCTGTCTCTGCTTTGTTCACAGGCTCTTCTGCTGGCTCCAGTTCTGCAAGGTTCAGCCGGAGGCCCACCTGTCCTGATGCATCTGTTGCTGGCAGCCTCCCCACACCCCCGGTCCCAAGACACAGGAAGAGCCACAGCCTGGGCAACAAGTGGGTGACTGAGCAGGTCCTCTCCAAGAGCTTTAGATCAGATTAAGCTGAGGGGTGTGGCCTAAAGGAATGCTGGGAAATACTTGCCAACTGAGTCCTTCCCCCCACCCTGTGCTGGGAGTTACTGATGGGGGCACTTGGTATCCCTGGCTGGTACTCGCTTTTGAGGCTGGCATAGGCTCAGAGAAGAGCTGAGAGCAGTTGCAGCAGAGCACTCTACATACTGTTGACATGTATCAGTAGGCAGTGGAGGAAGAATGCTAAGGATAGGGAAACAACAGTGGGATTCCAGAAAGTTTGCCCAAGCTCGGTCGGTGACTCCCTCGTGGAGAACTCTCAAGTCCAATGGACGTGAAGTGACTGTCACCCAGAGCAGCATTAGGTGTTTCACGTCTCATGAGTTCACATTCTGTCTGCTTGCCAATTGCCACAGAAGGGCTGCAGAGCAGTGTACCTACTGACCCATCCAATCCTGTGGGGCTGACAGCTGGTGAACATGTGTGGGTCCTCGGCATTGCTGGGGGTAGCCATGCCTCTGTCACCAGGGCATTGGGCACAGGTTCCTGAACAGATCTATCCCTCCCTCCATCCCTCCCTTCTACCTTCCTTCCTTCTTTCCACCATGACACAAGCCTTGGCCCAGCCCAGACTGGCCCTGGAGGAGCTCACAGGCCAGGAGAGCAGTAGTTGCTCTCCCAGCATTCAGCAGTTACTGTGTGCTAGGTACTTTACTGCTGGCCCATCAAGCATTGTCTCCTTGAGTCCCTGTGCAGATCTCTGAGGTAGGTGTTACTATTACATACTTTTTAAGAATGAGTCCAATGAGGTTCAGCAAGGTGAAGTACCTTACCATGGTGAGTAAGCATTGGAGCAAGGATTTGGACCAGGTATGTGTGACTTCAGAACCAGGCTGGCTGACCACAGGGTCGTGCCGTCCCTTCACTTGCGCAGCCTCCATCAACTGCAAGCACAGTCCTACCATAACCGTCCTGGGAGACAGGTAGGGCAAGTACTGTTATCCCCATTTGACAGGTGGAGAAACTGAGGCTCAGAAAAAGAATGTGACTTGCCCAAGGTCACACTGATAATAGTGGCAGAGCCAGGACTTATACTGCGGTTCTGGGTGGAGATCGTTTTCCTGCTGCTGCACCATCTGCTCAGGACCCCAGGGCAGTCGTAACCACTGTTACTCCCTAGATAAGGAGCTTTGCCTTCTCTCTTCCTTTCCGTTTTCCAGTATGATGTGTCAGTTGAGTGTAGTTGAGAGCAAAAGTGCGACATTCCCATCGGAGAAAGCAAGGCACCTACTGGACGACAGCGTCCTAGAGTCCCGCAGCCCCCGCAGGGGCCTCACCCTCACCTCCTCTGCTGTCACCAATGGACTCTCCCTAGGTAAGCATCTGGCCTGCACACAACGGCGGGTGGGCCCACGAGCCCTACGTGTGCTCCATGTCTGTCTCTGTGTCACTGTGCAATGCCCGGTGGCGCCATCACTGTGGGGAACCCAGTGGCACCTCATTCCCCACAGAGAAGACTCACTCAAGACAAGCCCAGAGTCAGGGAAGCCTTTGCCTCCTGGCTTTGTGGGCTTCTAGAGAGCCCTCGAGTTTGTCTCCATCCTGTGGTAGCCCCTGAGTGTGTCAGGCAGGTGGAAGGAGCATCCAGAGGCACAGTTGAGACTGGTTGTCATAGGTTGACAACTCCTAAAGCCGAGGTGCTGCCCAGGGGGGCTGCTGACCTTGAGAGGCCATGAACCCCAGGGCCCTGCAGGCAAAGCAGGAGAAGCTGCCTCAGGACAGCAGTTGGGTGGGCTAAAATGCCACCGGGTTCCCGCCTGTGTATTTGTTGTCACACTGAGAAGCCAGAATTAGGGAGAATGAAAAATTGATCTAAGAAATTGTATTTCTGAGCTTCAGCCAGAAATGGTGTTCATGTCAATGGAATAGACAGAACCTGCTGCTGAGGCTAGGGTGGGAAGAAGGTGAAGTGAGGGCTGAGGGTGGCATTGAGCTCTGATCACAGACGGACTCCCTGCAGTGCTCAGGCCAGCTGAGGGCAAATGGCCCCACACAGTCATTATTGCCAGTAGGCAAATGCACTCTCTAATGTGTTCCCTTTCAGTGTGACTGTGCTTCTGTAGTCTGTGTGTCTGTCTGCCTCCCTTAACAGGAAGTCCTCCCAGGGCTGGTGGTGGGTTAGACAGTTGCCAGGCTGGGAGTTTGATCTGGTGAGGACTGTAGGATAGAAGGCAAATGAGCATGGGGGACAGGGAAACAGGCAGGAATCTCACGTCCCACAGCCATGTCAAATTAGACCAGTCTCAGAGGCCATAGGAAGTATCACCCCAGGGGGCAGCTGTCTCCCACCCTGAGAGTCTGTGACAAGCAAGTTCCCATGTCTGCCTACCATCCCTGGAGGAGGTCATCCTGTTTGGATCCAGTCAGGATGTATAAAAGCTTAGGACAGTGCATCCCATGGTTCATAGATGTGCCTTGGCAGAAGAGGTCTGGGTTTGGGAAAGGCTGGGTTAATCAAAAATAAGCAGGCTTCTTCTCAGAGATTTTAATATGCTTATGTGCATTATGAATCCTCCCAGAAGGCATTAGAGTCTGCAGTGTTCCCACATTATTTGGCCACGGAACCCTTTTTCCTTGGAGTGCCCTATGGGACTGGGGTTCTCTGGAACTCACTCTGGGAAATACCAGCTGAAGAGCTTTCAGAGCAGAGCAGCAGTCTTAATGTCTTAATGGCCAGGAAACTTTCTGAGCTGTGCCTGAGTCCAGGGCCTGCTATTCCTGAGACAGAAAACTGAATCAGATGCTGTTCAGTACCCAAGCAGGAGATCACAAGGTTGTTTGGTTCTCAGCTCCTCAAGTCAGAAAACTCAAAATGTTTTTCTGTTTGGAGCTGAAAGCCCTCGAGTGAGTTCCTGTGTGTACATGTGCACTTTTGGGAGCTAACTAGTTCCATCCCCCATCCTGTAATGAGGCCCATTGCTCAGACTGATTTCCAGGGGCCTGAGGCCTTCCCCCTTTCCCCTTCCCACTGCTCAGCCTTGGTGCCAGCAGGTGGCCCAGGCAAAGAGCACTGAACCAAGGAGCCTCCAGGGTCTGGGGAAGAGTACAAAGGCTTCACCTGTTGCTTGCGTGCAGTGACAGGAAGAAATCTCTCTGCTATCCTTGGCCTTGGAAAGCCCCTGAAAAGCAGGGTGTCTTAGCCACATGGGGCAGGCCTGCAAGGAGGAGCAGATCAGTGGAGTTGAGCCCCTCTCTCTGTCTACACTGGCCAGGGGTCTGAAGGAGCCCTCCCTGAGGCTTCTGTCTGATACTAGGCGACTGCACTGTGACTAGTGTCTCGTCAAGCCCCTGACCCTTGGAGAGAGAAGTGCTCCTTTTTGCCTCTGTCCTCACCAGTGAGGCCTGTTCTAGTGCTGGTTTCACATGGACCAGAGGGAGGCAGTGGTGGGGCCAGTCCAGGCCAAGACAGAGCCTGAGGACCTAGACTACACTCGGCCAGTGGGCAGGCAGCTGCTGCCCTCTGGGGACAGTGGGAAGGGAGGTGAGGACCCACCTGGGAGCAGTTTTTGTGGAATGGGCTAGTTCTTTCAACCCTCCAAGAGCAGCAAGTCAGAAACAGCAGCAGCAAAACTGGTCATGTTGATGCCCACAGAGACAGGAAGCTGTTTCTCTAGCACTTCTGTGAGTGCAGTGGGCCTAAGGACCTAGGTCATCCCCCTGGTCATCCCCCGTTCTGAAAGGCCACCACGCTCACTGATCTGTGTTCCTTTTTTCAGGCAGTAGTGAGAGCTCAGAGTTTAGTGAAGAAATGTCTTCAGGGCTGGAAAGGTGAGTGGGTCTCAGCTCAGCCTCCCTCCCAGGGGAGGTGCTCAGGGCCCAAGGAAGCTGAAAACAGGCTCTGGCCAGGGACAGGTCTCCCCACCCCACCTCACTGGCCCAGCCTCAGGCGAGGGCTGCTCTGTGGCCTCTCAGCCTGGCCTGGGGGCAGGGGCAGGGAGGAAGGAAGCACAGGATGGGCCTGGTGGTGAGGGATCCCAACCTCGATGCTCTGAGCCGCCCCACTCCTCATCTCAGCCAAGAGCCAGCACAGGAGCCTCGAGCCAGTGACTTCTTCCTTGGGCCAAGGGGCAGAAGGAGACCTTGGAGCAGATTTGGTCTCAAATATGAGTTCTTGAAACCAGAAGCCTGAGAATCAGCCTAGTCTTGCGATGGATACGTGGCTCCACCTGGTGGGATCTGAGAGTGTTGTACCCACATGGTTGTGCTGTGGCCTCACGTGCATTTTTTGAGTACCCACCCTACTAGGCACTGGTGACAGTGAAGTGGTCACGGCTGCCACGCACCTTTTGGATCCTTCGCCAGAGTGTGGCTCCCTGCAGAGCCTGTCTGCCCCAGGCTCAGGAATTCACCCACGGCATAGGCATGTAGTGGTGCTTTCTCTGTGCCAGGCACCAGATGGCTTCTGGGAAGACGAAGGACACCGTGAATGGGGTGGTCCCACAGCTGTGGCACTGCCGAGGTGAAGGTAAAGCACATCAGCTGGTGACTGGAGGTCTTAGAGGAGACAGGGAGAAATGCAGTGACCTGGAGAGGCAGGTCTGCACTGTCCTGAGAGCAGCCTCTTCACCAACACCCAGGCCCTCTACACATAAGCACACACATATACTCTCTCACCCTCGTGCACACGTGTGCGCTTGCATACTCACATCATACATGGATGAGTGCACACACTGTCATACTTGCAGTCACACATACATGTGTACACTCATGTGCTCGCACATGTGTGCACACTTTGAAGCATAAACGTACGTATTCACACATGTGTATGCACACACTCATATATGTGCTCTCAAACACATACATGTGTGTATAATCAGACATCACACACACTCACACATACACATGCATTCCACTGGTGCTTAAGCCTTCTGTCCCCTCAGTCTCCATAATTGGAAAATAACCAAAGAAGATTTAAATCCTGCCTAGCAAATCCTCACGGGGCAGAGGGGCCTACTATGATAGGAACTAATATTTGTTGAGCGTTCATTGTGTGCCAGGCACTGTCTTACATGCATTGTCTCAAACAGTTCTACATAGTGGCTATTCATATTCTCCTGTTGTATACACATGGAAAGAAGGGCTGAGAGGTGACATGACTTGTCCTGCTTCACGCTTATCGATTAAGTGGCAGAGCTGACCCCAGTCCATCTTCCTGACAGCCAAGCGTACCTCTTCATCACTGTGCTCCACAGCCTCTTCCAGAGAGTAGGCTGTGAAGACTACAGGGACTAGCCCCAAGTCAGGCCTGCAGCTATATCATGGAGGGCTGATCAGTCTGTCCACGTGGAGCCCAAGGTGGAGGGATGGAAAAGGATGCTGTGAGCCTTCAGAGGCTCTTACCACCTGGCCCTGGTGCAGGACTCCTGGAGGGGCATTTGCTCTGTTCCCATTTGGGGAGCTCAGACAAATAGGCCCAGCTGCTGTCACTTTGGGGGCACCCCAGCAGTAGGGATGAGGATCAGACAGCCACCAGGGGCAGACTCCAGAACCAGTGACCAAAAATTTGGCTTTTCTCAGCACCAGTCAGGAGATTTCTGGGGAGACTCTGAGAAAAGAGGGCTTATAGGCAAGCCAGCGTCTCCTAGGCCACAACGAATGAGGGCACATCAAAATGGCAAACTCAGGCACAGAGCCAAGATCCTGATTATAAACTAGACCTGGACCTATTTGTTTATTCATTCATTTGTTCATTCATTCATTCAGTAGCTATTGTATTAAGCAACTACTCCTGCCAGAAACCATGCTAGTTACTGGGGATGTAACAGATATGGTTCCTGCTAAGTACATAAGTCTGAGAATAGAGCTACAAGGAAGGAAAGTGGTGAGAGAGAATTCTTTGCTCCATGGAGATGATGCTGTACTGAATTCAGTCATGAACACTGTAAGCTATAGCATTTCTATTTTTCTCTAATTAGAATGTAGCATTTCGATTCACTGTCCATCTGAATGCCTATAATAGGTCCCTTTTGGGTGGGATCTCCTCCAAGCACTGGTCTCATGACCAGCTCTTCTGTGTAGCCAGAAGCCCAGCCTGCCCGCAGCAGCCTTTGGAAGTCCCATGCAGGGAGAATGCCCTGTTTCTCATTCTCTTGAGACCTAGCTCCTGGCCCAACCCCACCTTGCTGAGGGGAGCAGGAGGATTTGGAAGATGCCAGTGGGGCCATGATAGCCCTTCCAATACCTTCCCATACTCAAGGAAGTCCTGACATTCCAGATGTCCACTGCCCCCTTGGCCTCCAACTCCTGTGACTTCCCGACAAGTCTCCATTTCCATCCTGCACTAGAACCTTTTCATGTTCACCGGAAAGAACCCACTCTCTCAAAAAGCACATGAGCATTCTAGACTTCACTGAATGCTCCATAGGAGAGTTGGAAGGGAGGATTTACCTCACACACCTTGTGGTGAAACAGCTTGAAAATCTCATTAGATATTGCTGTTTTCTCTCACAGTTCAGTGACTTCATGTTGCCACCTGGAGCTCCTTTATTCCTAACCTTTCCCCCACCCAATGATTGGCTCCACTGGGTCCTCTCTCCACCCTCTAGTTATCCCCCAGCTCAGATTGCTTCCACTCTATCAAAGGGGATAGATTTCCTCTTCCCTGGAAGCCTGAGTGTCAGCCTGTCTGCGTCTAATGGAGAGAGAGAGTCTCTAAAACACTCTCAGCAAGGTCGAGCCTTCCTCTACTTGGAATTCTCACCAGGTGTTCCTACCAGATGTTCTGAGAATGCATCTTTCTATGCATCATTATACCTGCATGAGTGGACTGATGCCTTGGAGCCAGGGTCAAGGGTACAGGAGAGGGCTAGGCTCCACCCAGAGGAAGAGAGTTGAGAGAGGAAGAGGCTACCGGCTTCTCCATTCCACCCAGAGCCCCAGCTAGGGTAGTGGCCAGCCCTTTGCCCACATCCCTGAAGCTTAGGGGGCCATAAGCTTCAAGTGAATCACCTATCAGCTCCCCAGCCCTAGTGACAAGCTTGACCCAGGCCAGGAAAAACAACAGATCCAGAGACCAAGATGAAGGGCAGGAAGTCCACTGGCCAGTGACCCCGCCCCCCACCACGCAAACCGCCATTGGTTTGAGGGCACATCTTAATCACTAGGTTTGTCACTGTGAGAAGAGCAAGCGGGAGAGTTTCCGTTATCCAGCCAAGGGTGGGATCATTTGGCCCTGTCTTGTGAGTTTACACGCAGTGACATCTTAGCCCAGTGACCAATCCTTGGGTGGCAGTGAGAGGTCAGGCTGTGCTCAGTGCTTCTGCAGAACAGCCAGCCTTAATGGTGCCCATGCTGGAACCCCCTGAGCCCAGCAGACCCGCTTCACTGCTCTCTGTGGCGCAGGTCAGTTCTTGTTGAAACTGCGTAGTAAAGGTGTAGGGAACAAAGGGAACCTTCCTCTTCTGCTCTTCATCCTCCTGTCTTCTTAGCCATCCCAGCCTCAGCAAGGTCACAAGGCCTGCAGGGCTAGGGAGAGGCAGAAGTGGGACTGTAGTTGGGGCCAGGAAGCCAAAACTAGGAAGGTGCTGGTCATTTCTCAGCCCCCCAAGCTGCCTTAAAGACCCTCTCCTATTGCTGAGCCCAAGGCCTCTTGTCCCAGAATGAGGATAGGGTGGTGGTCCTGGACCAGGGCCCTCAAGAAACAGACAGCCAGAGAGTCTCTGGGAGGAGTTGGGTAAGGATGGGTCTGCTGCCTGCAGATGTTCTGGCCTCCGAACCCTGGGAGTGGGGACAAAGGTGGAATGAGAGCCCTGCAGCACACCGTACTTTCCTAAGGGGGAGAAGGAAGTGACTTGAGGCAGCATTTTAAACAGGTACTTAATTTTAACTGGAAAGATTGGACGTGGACAGTGTGCCAAAGGGACCTCAAGCAAACCTCAACCTTCTGAGAAATTAAGTAGGGAGGGAGTATTTTAGTCCAGAGCATCCACAAGAGGTAATAGGTGCTTTTTTTATGTTGATTTGGACAAGCTTAAGAAGTGTTGGCACTGAAGTGAGAGCAAGAATATCAGCCTAAGAATTTCAGAGTTTTTTAAAATGAGGTTTTTTTTTTAAGGGAAACAGAATGGATTATAGAGATGAACATATATGTATATATGAAAATACATACTGTTATTCATCTTGATTATCTCTGAGTTGTAGGATTATTGGATGAGTTTTCTTTTTTTTTTTCCCTGTATTTGTCATATTTTTTACAATGAATAAATATTTCTTTTATACTCAGAAAAAAAATTAACATTTAACTTTTTTAAAGAAGGTATAATCAGAAATGTTTACTGATCTGTTTTGTTTAAGAAGTGAAATATGAAAGTATGTCACAGTGTTCATTACAAAGCACTCAGCCATCCGTCTTCTCTGGGCTGAGATCGCCAGTCTCTGTGGAAGGACTCGCCCCTCTGAGAGCCGGGATGTGACACCAGGAAGTGGAAAGACTGGGAGGCAGAGGGGTCCTTAGAGGATCTAGTGGTCAGAGAGGAGAGGGAAGGGAGAGGAAAGCATAACAGTGGGCTCTTCTTCTTCCTTCCCTTTGAGAGGTTTGGGATACAATAGAGAACTAGTCAGAATTCATGGTCAAGTTGGGAGACAGAGATTAAATACATGATGCCAGGCCCATAGAGGACCATGAAGAAGACGTGCAGGACTCTGTGGGCATGTTCAACAGGATGGCCCTTGTCAGACTGTGGCCTCAGGGATGGCTTCTGGAAGAGGTGATGATTAAGCAGAGGCCCAAGGATATTTGGTAAAGAGGACCACAGTAGGCCTTCAAGAGG